CAACAGCATGCATGAATTATTATAACGAAAGCAGAAAATAATTCTGGAGAAATGGTGTCCAAAAATGGAACATGATCGAGATGATAGTGTTTTCACTACCATCAACTATACGTCCATCAATACTACAGGAACTTACTATATGACTTATAAGTGTACTACACTCATTTTATCAAGATCATCCGGGCGCTCCTGCATTTGCTGTGATTATATACAACAAGGCCCAGCCTATTAGAAACAACCATCAGACTCTGGAGCAAAAATCAGTCGGATTCGTTTTTGAATTTTCAAAAACCCCATTTTCTAAACAATCACTCATATATTGTGTGATCAATAAAAGGAGTATGCAGGTTTGTTTTCTTTACGCTCAGTATATATAGAAGAGATAATATAATAATTATAAAATTTTTGGAATTTTGAATTCATGACAAGTTTATATATTTTATATATTATATTCAATTTCAAAATTGAGAAGTGAGCTTTTCATGGACACCGTCCATGTCGTATAGACAGAGAATAATTTTTCGTTGGTCAATGGACCGATATGGACAAAACGAAAATTTTGTTGTTTTTCTCATGAGTCACGTCAGAATAGAAAGACAAGAAAAAGAAACCTAATGTTTTTTTTCTTGGACATGAGCGGACGATGAACACAAATTTTGTATTTGATCATGGACAAAAAAATTGTGTTCGTGTCACCTCTGCTTTTGAGACAGAACTATTGGAATTTCTTAGAACTATAGATCTCGCAAGGCAGAATATGATCTCTACGATCAGAAATGAATTCCATTCTAAGTTATTTACCTAATGATTTCAGTGCGTCAAAAGCCGAATATGGTGAATTTTGATAAATCATGTTCTTTAATATTTCCACTTCCTCCAATTGTTTACGTTCAAATAATAATTGTGCACAAAACTGTACTAGATTATTGTTTACGTCAACATCATTATTTTTCAGCAAGACTTGTAGTAAAATTTTAATAGAGGTTTAATTTACATCATCTTTAACGAATTGAAAATCGATTAATGTTTTACAGGATATGAGAGCTTGTTTAAATATCGGGTATGAGCTCAATAACATTTTGACATCTGTCGTAAATCCAAATGCTAGAGAAATAAAAAGTATAATTATACCTAGTCAGACAGTCATAGAGAAAAGGCTTAAAAGTAGCAGAAAAACAGAATAAGATCTTCAATGTGAGCAGCGCACGGTGTGCGTTCACATGGACATTAGGTGAAAAAATGAAAGTATGTTTTTTTAAGATTCAAATAGCGTCAAATATGTTTTGAAATATGGGCTATTTAATGGCGCAAAAATGATTTTTCCTGTTACCATAGTTACCTGGAAAATACAGGGCGAAGATTTTGATCGAAAACTTAACAGCTAAAGACCCGGTTTCTAAAGAACCCAGATGAAAGTCTCTTTGAACTTTGTAAAGTCGACCTTGTCCAGTTTCTTTATTTAATTCCATTAAATCTTCATGACGTATGTAAAAGCCTAAATCATCTTCGGCACCTAAGAAACGAGACAATGATTGCACTGTACAGTACGGTGAATATTAAAAAGTATTTTTTTTCTTACCTGTTTTTTCAACTTTATTAATAAATTGTTTCAAAAAAACAACTAAATCGTCTTTTCTGTCACAAATTTCATATAATCGTTGTTTAATTGTTGTATTTGTTTTCGGTCACAATGCGCAAAGATGCTGTCTATCAAGGTAGCCTTCATAACATTCCTCTGTACAATCAAGATACGGAAGAATACCATCGACAAGTGATCGTGACCAGTGATACTGTCGTCGATCAACCGGTGACGAAATCGATCGAAAAAAAAGCGCCGGCCAAATCGTTTCTTGGCAATTGGCCGAACAGATCGATTTGAACCTATTGAAAGATGTAGCATTTGCTCTCTTTACCGTTTCGAAGTTTTTGACCAGTCTCGACTTCAATGTTCCGTACAATTTTGCCAACGATCTGGCTACCGATGCTAAAGTTCATATTGATCATCGAAAATATGTTCTCATGTCGGTCGGATTGTCCAATTGTTTCGGTCGGGTCGTTCTGGGCTATCTCGCGGATCGAAAATGGGTATTTAAAAAAAAACAGTTTCTGACTTTTAGACATTTTGACTTTTAAACAGTTAGAGTTTTAGACATTTGGAGTTTTAGCCTTATATACTGTTAAAGTTTTTGACTTTTAGATCAATAGCGTTTTAGACATGTACAGTTTCGGGCTTTTAGATTTTAGAGGTTTAGACAGTTAGATTTTTAAACATTTACCGTTTTCTGTTTTAAACTTTTAAAGTTTTAGAGTTGTACAGTTATAGACTGTTACAGTTTCAGACGTTTAGACATTTAGCGTTTTGGAGTTTTAGACTTTTAAGCATTTTTACTTTTAAAGATTTAGACTTTTAGAGCTTTTTAGTCATTTGGACCTTTAAACTTTTAGAGTTTTGCAGTTTAAGGCTTTTATAGTTTTCGACTTTTAGACATTTAGAGGTTTTGACTTTTAGACTGTAGTTTTCGACCTTGAGACATTTAGACTTCCGGATCTTTATACCTTTAGAGTTTTAGACTTTTACAGGTTTAGACATTTAGAGTTTTCGATCTTGTGACATTTAGACTTTAAGACACTTAGACTTTTTGACTTTTACAGTTTCAGACTTAAGGAGATTTTTTTCTTTTTAGAATAAGAAGTGAAAGCAACGCCATTCAACGGGCATTGTCAGAAAGTTTCTATATGATTTCATTGTTGTTCTAAAGAAACCTCATTCGAACCATAGCTAGACTCTAGTATAAATTGTGTTTCTCTTCGAATTGTTATGTATGTGTTGCGGACAAAATTCAAATTTAAAGTTGTCCGATCAAACTTTAAATTTAGAGTCTGTTTGACCTCCTGGAGATCCTCCTATTGTACCATTAGATTCTTCGTGCTGAATTATCTACAGTTCACAAGTTCCAGCCATTTACACCGTATCTCTCAAGAGTTTTTAGGGTCTTGATTTGTCCGTGTGGACGGACAGACAAACATTTTCTAATCTAACTAACGTCAAGGAAATAGTTACATAAGAAAATACTAATTTTTCATGGATCATCACAGCATTATGTTTTTATTTAGATTTTGACCGAACTGTGGTCAAACTTTAAATTTGAATTTTGTCCGGACAAATTTAAAATTTGACCAAATTTGAATTTTGTCCGCAACATATGCACTATACGTTACTACAACCATACATACATACATGTATATATATAAGACAAACTACTGAACGATCTGGCCAAACATAACTGCCGGAAAATTTGACGCACTCACAGACAAATATTTCGATGATAGCAAAGACTACCGAGTTGAAATTTCTTTTTGTGGTGGTATACCATGAGTTCTGTCTCTGGTAAAAATTTCAACTCATTCAGTGCATAACTCACTGAGCAGCGAGCAAAATAGTGCATCCATAACAGACGGAAAAAATAGAAATGAATTAGCAAGGCTTGCAGAAATGTCTCTTTTACTCTGAAAGTAGAGGTGTGAGAAAACAATAGTTCACATAAAAAATGTAGAGAATTACTTGAGCTATCAAATGGTGTGATTGATTTTCAAAAAATGTTATCAGCGTTCCATGGAGTAAAAAAGATCATCGTAACAGACGAAAATATTTCTTTGCTGTTTGGTGCGGTGATTTATGTCACGCCTTTTTATATATATTTAATAATAAAAGAATACATTTTACATAAATAGAAGCTATCCCTAGGGAAAATCCTTAGTATTTCTGTTCCAGATCCTTGACAGATCGCTGTTTTTTCGTGAGGAAATGATAAAATCCTGAAGAAAGCGTGTAGTCACGGAATTTCAAGATCCTGGCAGGATTTTACTTCGATCATGTTTTCCATTTCTTGTTCGAGTACATTGTTGGAAACGAGAGATTGTCAATTTTTGACGATTTCTGAAACTTCGTTCTCGAGCACACCATCGGCTCTAAAAAGAACATTTTTATAGTCCGCGAGCAAGAGCACATTTGAAAGTACCGAACACAAACTGAGTTGTCAGTTTTGCTGCACTTTTTTACAGAAATAATAGCAGTAAAAAAAGCTGAAAGTCGAACAAAATACGGAGCATAAACTGCACGCAAGTGAGCAGAAAATGATAAAACGTATAGCCACTTTTCACTCCTGTTTTCCCTTGCAGACTCACCTCGTTATATGGGAACATTCTCTTTTCTCTGTTTTGTCTATTATCATGAATATTTCTGGTAAATTCTTTTCTTATGTATAATTTACCGCATGCTCGGTGACTAATAACTTTTAATTCATCATATGAGACAGAACAGTCTTCCTTTTTCTTCTTTGCTGTGGTGACTGGAACACGTGCGTGTATGTAAAAAAAAGAGGAGAGAAAAAGAACTGCCTTGAAATTCAGTTCATTCTCATTTATATTCTCATTTATATTTTACACACATACGTCAACATCATTCACGTGTAGATGTACGTATAAATTAGACTCTTACGGGTAAAAGTAAGTATTGCCGGCTATGCTGACTTGAGTTTGCAGATGTCATCTTGTAGAGAATTCAATTTACTACAAACTGAGCCAAAGAACTTTGTTTTAGAATCCCTGGAGAGTGACCGATGTTTGAAAACAAGATAGGCGACCGACATCAATGTTACAGTTTTTTTTGGCGTTTTTTGCACCAAAACTGCATTTTAAATAGAAAATAAGGTGATATTTGGAATCAACGTCGAAAACTGCATCAAATGATGCCTCTGAAGTTATTCAGAGAAAAAAAATTTTCGACAGCTTTTTGAATTTTTCATCATCCGCTTCTGAACCTCTTTTCCCTAAAACTTTGAGTCAAATTATATTTGGATACTAAAAAGTGACTTTTACCCGAAAAACTTCGCTAATGGAAATCCTAATCCTTCACTTGATGTGGATTTTTCACAATCGGTTTGCATCATCAAAAAAATGAAAAATACGTAACTTTGTTTGGTTTTTAGATAGATTTTCAAATGAGACGTTGCTCAAATAGGATGGACCAGAACGACGGAGTCATAGTCAAATTATCGCGGGACGCCACTTTTCGCAATTCGGTGATGGTAAATTCTATAACTCGGTCAAAATAAGTCAGAAAAGACTAAAAGTTCATAACCCCAGTTAATAAAATTCGAATGTAAAATAAAAACCATAGGCTAATTTTTCACTCGTGACTCGGTTTCTCGCTTATCTGACAAATCCTCTCTTAAAAATGAAGCATACTTAGAACGAAACTGTGCCTCACTGAGAAGAACTTCTCCTTCTTTTAGCTCAAGATGCCTTTCTCTCATTGTTTATTTCATGGTTACAGTTCCTTTGTTAATTATACTATATTATTGTAAAAGAGTAGATTTCTTTTATCACATGAACTTGTTCTATATTCTAAAAGAACTTTTTATTTCCTTTAGATGACTGAAGTTGCATTATCGCCATCGACTATTCTTGAACAAGTTGATGAATCGTATAAATGTGGCAATTATTCTAAATGTAAATTACTTCTCTTTCAACAATTTGATTCTGCTCAATATCCTCTCATCTATCTTCTCGATTTATTTAATCAGACAATCGATGATAAATATTCATATTTTCTCCTAGAAATGTATCAACAATGGCAACATGAAGATTTCAATTATCATTGAATTCCATTAACATTCGATTTTTCCACACAACAACGAATTAATTTATTACTTATTCATTCCTCGACACAATCTCTTTCACTCATAGCAAAAATATTTCAACTTGACAATGAACATTTAATACAGATAATTCGTAATCAATTATTGTCAAATAATGATTATGATAATGCAGTGAAATTAATCACACACTTTCTACTTCAAGATTATTTTTATATTAATGAATTATTACTACCATTATTTTTAAATGATATTCAAGATTTAATGGAGAAACATTTAATTGGAAGTAAACAATACGTCCATCAGGCCTATCTCACAGGATTATTCATGATGTTTACCCTGCAGAAGTTTTCCCTATCTCTACCGCTTGCATCACAAATGTTACGTCACTACGGTAACTCTAGAAGGCTTATAGGATTTTATCTTGAAGAAAACAAACAGAGGTGCTTTCTAGGTCAGTTCACAAGTCTTTTTCCTACGAGATCTGGCAGAATTTTATTTGTTGAAAAATAGGATAGACATAGGTGAGAAAAAGGATTTTCTCTATCCTGTGGCATTCTGCAATCTTTGCTCATGCATGTTTGTCCAGTGTGACCGTGGAGGACCTTGTTTGTATTCTTTTATTTTTGGAAAATTAAGTACTTTTACATGTTTTTCTTGTAAAGTTATAGAAACTTTTCTTGTGTCCAATAAACTTCTAGAAAATATACATCTTAATATTTTAACTTTAATTTTTAAATATTTTTATCGAAGTTTTCATTTTATATACTATTTAATACAACTGAAGAAATTAGACTATTTTGATATCACTGCTTTACTATACATCTTTTTTTCTCACAGTAGTGGAATCATTCTGATGACTTTAATTTTCTTATTGATGGAAGAAAATAGAATATTTCTGACATACAAAGGATCTTTTCAGCTATTTAGTTTAGTTTTGTACACATGAAAATGCGTTTTAAAGTCAAAATATTATGGTATATATTTTCTAGAAGTTTATTGGACAAGAGAAAAGTTTCTATAACTTTACAAGAAAAAGATAAAAAAATACACAATTTTCCAGAAATAGAAAATACAGACAAGATCCTCTACGATCGCTCTGGACAAACATTGATGAAAAAAGATTGGAGAATGCCGCAGGATAGATATAGGAAAGAAAATCATTTTTCTTTCAACAAATAAACTCCTGACAGATCTCGTAGGAAAAAACTAGTGGATTGCATATGTCAAAAAGGATTTTTTTCTACACTATTCCTCTGCGAAAACTGCCGGATCCCTACAGCGATGGCAGAAATCCTGCGTAAAGGTAAGAAGTATTGCAGGATTTTTTGACATACACTATCCATGGGTTTCCTACGCAAACTTCTGCAGAATCCAGCAGGAGTTTTGAATTTTTTTTTCAATGGGAAGACGCACAGTGGCAATTTGTACTAGACAAGTGGACATCTGTCATAAAAGTGATACGAAAGCTTCTAAACACTAAGGTTTTTGTATGCGCACTTTCCAATGGTGTGATCCACAAGTTCAACGATGTTTTAATATCAGGGTTTTCCAGAGATCCGATCTAAAAGTGTTTTTGAACTTTGTAAACTGCACCATTGGAAAGAAAGCATATGAAAACCTATGAAAAGTTTCAAACTGTTTTTAAATCACAAAACCTATTACATTACCGGCAAAATTGTTTCAGGAATGCTGTAAATCTGTCATTTCACTAAATCGAACGAATTTTTTTGCGCATAAAAACATATAACTGACATATCAATCGATGCAGTTCGATGTGTTGATTAGTTAGTTTTTAATGAAAGTGCTTTTGTGATGAGAAAATTGTATTTTATCTGAAAAACCAAGGGTTTAGTGGAAAACCGATAACCCAGACTGGATTCATTTACGTTTCTTTACGCTAACTGAGGACATGTGTCAGATATATAAGAACATTGTATGAAAGTTTCATCAGATTTGGAACTGTGCTAAACTGTGTGCAGTAACTTTACTGAATACGATGTTTCGGAAAACACTAACAACGGGAGAAATATTCGTTTTTTCTCATCGGGAAAGTGTTAAACTAAAAACTTTTTACAAATCGGTAGAATGCAAACTCTAGTTTAAAAATATGAATAATTCATTCACCAACTTTCTCTCCTTTGTATAAAAAATTATATTATTATATTACTTATTACTTAAATATAATGTATTATTATTTTCTCTATGAGGTTGCAGATATCTGACCGATTTTTGTGCATAAGTTTTTTCGATGAACTTAAGATCTGTAAGAAAAAATGTTTCGCCATTAAATTGCCTATTAACCAAAGTATATTTGACAGTATTCGAATCATGAAAACGCTCAGTTTCAGTTTTTCACCAAATGTCCACATGCGAGACATGATTGCCCACTGTGAGACGCAAACTATTTTATATTATTTTGTTTATATTCTTCGATAAATAGCAAAAATGGGCTATTAACTATAACTTTATTATTCCGCTTGTTACTCATATTTCCAGTGTATTCTATTTTTGTTTGACATTTAGCTGTCTTCTACTCTTATTTTAATAATTGGAAGCTATCATTATACGCTTACATTTTGTTTTAAGATAATTTTTATTCATTTCTACTAACTTAAACTCAAAATTTTACTTTTTATACTTTTAGAAATGTATATCAAGTGCCGGCTGATGTCATACCAAAACTAGATAAAAATGAAATACGTCTGATGATTATTCGATGTTATGATCTTTATTGTACAAAAGAGAATGCATCACAATATCCAAATTTGTCTATATTACAACCAAAACGAACATTGACATACTTAATTAATGTTAAATATGGTACGAATATGGCAAATAAAACAATAATGAGTGATGATTGCTGGAATGAACACATTAGTGTAAGTAACCTATTTTTTTTTCTCTTTTTTAATTGTCTAATCGATAAAGATATGTTTAGGAACTAGTTCAAACAAATCCCTCATTAAGTATAACTCTGATCGAACGATTATGTGATAAAGATGATATTAATGCTGTTAAATATTGGATGACTGTATTAGAAAAACCAAATTATTCATTACCACAATGGGTAAGATGTTTCACTTTTATGAAAATTTGTAAGATAATTTTATGAATGATTCGAAACGAAAAGATACTGCTGAAATACGAAAGAAAACTTAACAAAAAAAAGATTTTTGTCTCTTTTCTCTGCTCATGACACTCATTTTTTCGAATATTATTTTTACTATCTCTTTAATATGTACACTAGTAAGTATCATTGTATAAGCTTATTTTTCATTGATAGAGGACTGTCACTAGACTTTAAGCTTTTTTCTGGAATTTTTTTTTGACAATAAGATGCACCGTAAAATACTCTATAGAACGATATCCAAACTTTGATTTCAGAACTTCAATCAAGAAAACTACGCAAATTAGACGAAAGGCGAAAAAAGAAACTATCTAAACTCAAAAACGATTTCTTGTGTTAACAGTTTGAAAGTAAGAAAAATTGAATTAGCTATTGTGATCGCTCTATCTTCTAGCTATCTACACTTTACATTTTTTCACATCAGAACCCATGGAGAAATAATTATTTTTCTATCGGTTCTCACGCATTTTTTCATTAACTTTTTAAATTCTGGATCTAGTGGTGCTTTCAGTAAAAGTTCCATAACTTCATCAAAATAAAAGCTTTTTCGATCTGATTTTTTGTTGTTTTTTATCGGAAATGATTGCTCTTCTCTACCTAACTGCAAAGTCAAAACTTCGATCATGTTTTTCAAGTCTTGCTTGAGCACATTGTTGGAAACGAGAGACTGTCAATTTTTGATGTATTTGTGAAACTTTGTTCTCAAGCACACCATTTACTGTAAGAACGTTTTTACAGCCCACGAGAAAGAAAGTACGAAACACAAACTTTCTCACTTTTGCTACGCTTTTTACAGCAATAAAAGCAGAAGAAAAACGTTCAAGTTGGAAAAAATGTCAAATTTACAAAGTTTTCATATTTTTTCGCCTTTCGTCTAGTTTGCGTAGTTTTCTTGATTGAAGTACTGAAATTACAGTTTGGTTCTGCAGAGTACTTTGCGGCATATCTCTTGGTAACAGAAAATTCCCAAAAGGTTGCGACTGTATGTAGAACAACAGAAAGCAAAAAAAACAGCGATCATATCTGGAGTACTTGATATTGCCCGTCAGAAATGCAAATTTCTCCATAAAAGGACGATACTGAACTAAGCATATAGTTGAATAAACCAAGGCGGAATCCATACTACTTTTGTCCACTTCAAAGTTTGTGAAAGATTTTTGAGAAAGTTGTCTAAGAGGCCTAAAAGACTGCACAGGTGAACATCGTTTAAAATATTTCTCTGTCAAATGATATGCTAGGCTAGTAAATGCTTGTGATTAAAATTTATAAGAAATCTTTCATCTATGAGCGATGCTTTGATCAAAAATTTCAACAGATTTACTACAATCATAAAAATCCTGTATCCTGTACCCTGTAACATACAGTGGTACGACGATATTTCAAAAGTGACTTTTTTGTGGCGATGAACATTATTGCCAAGATTTTCTCTATCCAGTTAAATGAGTGAAGAGCTCAAGCTAGTTTTAAGCCAAAATTAAAAGTACAAGTGACGACGTAACAGAACCCAAGTTCTTACTTAATCTACAGCTTTGAAAATATTCAAGTTTTTATGGAAAATATTTCCAGTATTGGAACTTCTGATATTCCTCGAAAAACTTTGAAGCAAACCATAAAAAATCTGTCTCTTACTTACTTCTCGTCTTAATTTCCGAAGTGTTAAGAAATAATCTGCATTCTTCATCGCTTAATATGAGAAGATCTTTTTATAGAAGAAGCTCTAGTTTTACTAGTATTTTGCGACATATTATGAACAGTGATAAATGGAGCCCTTTAAAAATATTTCTTTATCATATTTTGATATTATCAATATTTTCTGAAAGTTTTGCTAAGATCCGACCTATGTTGACTGGAATAGGTCGGCCTTAAGGCAGCGAAAAGTGCATAGAGTATTTTAGTGGATCTGGATCATGTTTGGAACGAAGTTTGTTTCTTTTTATAGATTGAGTAAGATCGACATTTATCTTGAATGTTTTTCATTGTCTTTAGGTTCAAAAATTTATTCACAATAAAAACTATGATCAAATCCGAAAATCTCAACCTCAAAAGTCAATTATTTCATCAACAAATTATTATCAACTGTCATTATCTGAAAATAAGATCTATTTTGTTGATAATAATGTTATGTACACTCGTCTCTTAGATAAATTATGGTCATCATCTTCTGAACAAATTATTAGTATTGATTGCGAGTGGAAACCCGTTTTTGATTCGAACTCGACAACATTTCAACGAATATCGATAATGCAATTAGCATTTGAAGATGAAATTTATATCCTAGATTTGTTATACTATTTTCATACGATAGATGAAGAAGAATTACTAAAACGATTCGTAAATAAATTATTTAACAGCAACAGTATTACTCTTTTAGGTAAGACTTGGGATGCTTCTGGCTAGTATAATTGCGCTGGACAGTCAAAATAATTTGCCTAAGCCTTAAGTGTCTTGTGGATACTATTTAGCATGATGAAAAGTCTTTCTACTCAGCCAGGTTGTATTTAAGAGCCCCCCTGATAAATGATGATCCTCGGGCAAAAAAATCCATTCTGAGATAAGCACATGGAAAGATAGCCTCAGGTGTCTCCTTTCAGAATCTATATCGCTTTCGGTTACAGAAGTGATTTTTACCTGTAGAGTAGACACTTCATTACTCTGAATAGTAAACCAATCGTTTTTAGGTCCAAAAGGGCATAAACCTCTTATTGTAGCCACTAACGATGCCTATTTTATTCGGAATGAAACGTAAACAGGAAAAAAATGGCGGTTGTCGAAATGGATGTGGGCACATTAAGAAAGAGAGTGAAGTGTACCCACATGTTAAGCATTTTGCAATGGAGTTCATATTCCGTAGGCGTTACCACTCTACGTGTTTATGAATCGAATTTTCTTTTACTTATGAGATAGAAATTGATGATGATGACGAGTCATTCATGAAAATCCACTGTAGTAGAACGATGTTTTGAAAATAGTGCGACTGACTACATCTTTCTCTCAATGCATCAGCCAGAGCTCATCTGATGATTAGTAAGCTTCAGTGAAAATTGATTGGTCTTTGTTTTGATTTGTAGAGTAAAATTGATGGCCATTTGCAAAAGATTCAAAGAGAGAATATTTTGTGATAGAAAGACGTTGTAGGAATAAAAACTCAGCGGTAGAATCTAAGGAGACAAATTTGAGGAATGTCCTTCTTGTGTGTAATATGTATCGAACAAAAATAGCAGTAAAAAATAGTAAATAAGATAATCTTATGTCAAGGTCATGTATGATCTTGCGGAATCTTGTAACTTCTTGTGGTAGAAGAATCTTACAAGATCAGCTTAGAAGAGATAATAAGATCTTGTAATAAGAAATTATATAATCTTGCAAGATCTTGTATAAGCTTGTCGGCGAGAGTGTTGAAATGATATTTACTTTTTATCACAGAATGTTACAATTCCTGTTACAAGATAGTATAAGATCTTACAAGAAGTGATGATTCAGTCTTTGGATTTTTAAATTCTTTTTTCCTGTTCTAATGTGATTTATCTAATGACCTGAAAATTTTTTACAGTCTTTCCAATCCAGCGACTCTTTTTCTAAGTTTTTATACCTTCCATACATGATTAAAACCCATGAAAAAGAAATGAATGGGGAAGATTCATATGCGGCAAAAACGCACAAGAAAAGCAAAAGCAGACTAGCAAGAGAAACCAGCAAAAAACAGTCAAAATCATGTATCCTTCGTACATAAAATCGTATAAAATCAGACACGATCTTATCTAATCTTACTATTTCACACATAAGATCTCATAGGATCAGTTCAGATCGTGCGTACGATTGTTGTACGAAACGTATAGTCTGGACCCTGTGACTTTTCCGGGACCACGATTCGGACGCCGATCATACCATTTCGTATGTATGAATTTATACGATTATTCTAGATCGTATCGGTTCGTGTACGATCACACAGTACAATCGTATCTGATCATATTCGATCTGATATGATCCGCTCGTACGATTCTTCGACCTGGTATAAGAAACGTGTAATTTCTTATTACAAGATCTTATACACGACAATATTATGAAAAGAGAAAGATTTCTTTTTTAAAGAGGGTCTAGAGGGAATCTATAGGACAGAATCTGAGACATAATCTTGTAAGATTTAATGAATTTTAAATAATCTTATTTCCCTTTGAAGGTAGTATATACTGAACGTTTCCCCAAATTCAACTTTTTCTTCTCGAGCGCTGTGCAGTGTGCATTTTTCCATAGGACGGGTGGGCATTTACTATAAAAGCAATCCAAAAGTTTATAAACCCTTTTTTTATAGCTTTTCAGATATGCTCTTTCCAATGTTCGCCTTTACGAAGTTCAAAGAGACTTTTATCTGGGTTCTTCAGAGACCGGGTCTTTATAAAACCCACACATAAGTATTCTGGAACTTTATAAAGCACACCGTTTGTAGGAGCATATCTGAAAATCTATAGAAAAAGTGTTTATATACTTGTGAATTGATTCTATAGCAACTATCAAAATTCTTAGCAAAATTGTGACTGTATACATCAACTTTAGCGTTTCATTAGATCCAACACGTTTTTGCTCCGAAAAACCTACTAATCTCACATCATTTGATGCATTTTCTTGCGCTGATTCTGAATATCTCATTTTTATAGAACAAAAACATTTCTGGGTCGAGATAAATGATAAATAAGATCATTTACTTTCAACAATAAAGGTTTGTTATTTCTTAGCTGTTAAGTTTTCGATCAAAATCTTCGCCCTATATTTTCCAAGTAACTATGGTAACAGTGTGCCATTAAATAGCCCATATTTCAAAATATATTTGACGCTATTTGAATCTTAAAAAAACATACTTTCATTTTTTCACCTAATGTCCATGTGAACGCACACTGTACGCCGCTCACATTGAAGATCTTATTCTGTTTTTCTGCTACTTATAAGCTTTTTCTCTTTGACTGTCTTACTAGGTATAATTAAACTTTTTATTTCTTTAGCATTTAGATTTACGACAGATGCCAAAATGTTACTGAGATTATACCCGATATTTAAACAAGCTCTCATATCCTGTAAAACATTAATCGATTTTCAATTCGTTAAAGATGATGTAAATTAAACCTCTATATTTCATATGTGTCAGTGCTCTCTTTTTCTCTTCTGTTTTAGCTATAAAAATGAAGTCAGATATATTACCTCATTTACGTTTAGTTAATACACGTGATAAAGGTTTAAATAAATTGTTGAAAGCTTGTTTTGGTCAACAATTGTATAAAGGTGAACAATGTTCAAATTGGGAACAGCGACCATTAAGAAAAGCACAAGTAATCTATGCTAGTAAACTAAAAATATTTCACAAATGAGCTGTTCAATTCAGTCTACTGTTTATTATATTTGTTTAGGTATAGATGCTTATTGTCTACTAAATATTTACAATTTTTTACTTGAACAGTCTTCAGTATTACCAAGAAATTTTTTAGAATCTTACCGTGGTAGAAAAAAGTCATCATTGTCTGATATTGATAAACAGTCAGGAGAAGTATATGTCAAATAATAAAAACTATTTGATGTTTGTTATTCTCAAATTTACTTTTGTTTAGTTTTTGTCTACGTTTTCTAGTTTTCAATTGAAAACGAAGGATCATTCCAAACGTTTTGATTTCAAATTTTTATCTATCATGTTCATGTTTATTTGTCTAATTATTTCGATATTATTGACATCTGATATGACGAAAATGATAATAAAGAAAATTTTCTATTTATGAGAGTTTTTTTAATCATGAACAGTTCATGTTATCATGTGATTGTGTATACAATGTTTCTAGTATAGCCGTACAAATTCAATTCATTCTTAATTTATTTTCTATATACAGAACTTTGAAGTACAATAATAACTGTTTTTTAATTTGTGTAACAACTATCACTGGTTTTTAAACTCAGCCGGAAAGTTCAAGAAAAAACGAATATAAATATTTTATTTTCTATTTATCTACATCTCTGCGCAAAATAATTTCTCATTAACCCTTTGGCGACGGGAAGCCCATATATAGGCAAATGTGGCGACACTCCTGTAACTCAAGAATCATAAGAGCTAGTGACTTCTAATTTTATGTGGTGATAGCTCTTACCGAATGCTGATCATCCACCAAGTCTGGGTCTCTTTTACTGGATGGTTCGTGAGATATAAATGATTTATTTCTTTTCCATAAAATATCAATAGCTCCTCATCTAAGAAAGATAAAAACTTTTTCTTTTTACTAAAATGTAGCCACGACTCTACTCTATCTGCAATATGAATTTCGTGAGTTGGCAGTTAGTAGTCAGTTAAATACAGTTATTTTACGGGCGAGGTTCGCGGTTTCTTGTTGAAAGTTCGAGCTCCTTTGCGAAAAAAAATTCACAATTCAGTCTAGGAGCATCATTTTGACTTCAAACTCACATCAAAGGCTCTACAGTGTCTGTAGATGATCTAGCCAAAGTATGAAGATTAACTATTGTGTGCTTCTGGAAATTCATTGAGAACGAGCACCCACGATTGAAACATACGTAGAAGATCGAGGGCGGCGAANTCACTCTTTATACTATAGAATTTGCATGCAATGTACATCATAATCATGAAAAAATAATCATAGAAACCTATGATTCCGAAAAGCGTATGGGAAACTTTTATCAGAAAGATTACCCACTCACCTCTGACCTTCGCCATTTCACTTATTTTGCGTCCTTTCCACTTCCGTTATATTTTCAAGCAAAAATAATAACATATTTGAGATCAGCAGACAAAACTCGGTCTAACAGCATACTTAACATTCGGTTTTCAAACAAACAAAATTTTATTGATAATTTTCTCTCTAGTGGGAAGATCAGACGTATATATACGTCTCCCGTCGCCAAAGGGTTAGCAATCTTTAACTCATATTTAAGGTAGATATTTTTCTAATTTAACTTAAATTTTAACTTAATTTTAAGTAAACATCAGAGAATATACTTCATCTTTAACGAGTTGATCTACAGTTGATAACAATACCCATAAACAACACGTGGTCTAAAAACGAAAATAAATAAATTGTTGATCATGTGCCTGAATGCAACGGACAAAACTAAAACTCATCATACTTCGCTATGAGTGTATTATAAATTTCGACTCTTCTATCTCTGGTTGCATACACTGTAATTTGGAACTATTTTCTACTTTATAGAAAATCATCTAGAAAATCGTCAAGGATTTTTCAACTTTTAGAAAATCCTCAGCGATTTTCTGACTGTTTAAAAAATGTTGATTTTCTACTTTATAGAAAATCGAGCGGATGAAGTGACTTTTTTCATTCACCAGAAAATCGATAAGGACTTTCTAAAAAGTTGGAAAATCGAATTCGATTTTCTAAGAAGATGATCGGTGATTTTTTTTTTCGTGCTTCTTCTCTATCTATCAAAGTTTTCATTGCAACAAGTTATCCTGTAACAGATCTCTGCTACTTTTAGTATTTAACATCGGAAATGTTAACAGATTCCGAAAATTCTCTCAGTTTTGCAAATCGGCATATTCTTCGAGAAGTATTATTGTTGTATGATACGTAGAGATCAGAAAGAGGTATTTAAAAAGTTCTTGGATTAGACCTGATTAAGACAAAGTCGAGTTCGCAAAGCGATTCACTCTTGCTAATATTTCCTCATTTTTATGTCTGAATTTAGCATCTTCCAAAAATGTAGTGGGTTCTATTAACTTAAAGACATGATCCTAACAATTCACATTTATTTTCTTTATTTTTTAAATAAAATAACAATCGTTCAACACGTGATCGATTTTGAATTTGATTTTCATTATTAAAAGATCCATATTGTCATCCAATAAGCTGAAATAATACACCCACTCAACTTCGAAGTTCAATAGCTTTTAATAACGGTGAAAAAATTTATCTTCATCCATTTTTACTTTAAAACCTTCTGATTATCAGCATTCTCACTCAGATTGTTCTTCCTCATCATCTAGAAAATTCTCATCGATTTTCCAGAAAGTAGAAAAAGATCAGTTGTCCAATTTCAGATTAACTTACATCTATGACATCAGCTTTGATTTGTTGCCTTAGGAATACGAATGAAGTTGAACTTGTTGTGTCAGTCGTAGTAGGGCCAAGACCAAAAATATCGGGTTTTAGGTCAAAAATTGTCATGGTCACCATTCAACGAGAAAACATTTTTATGAGCTGCGGTTGTGATATTCGTGATCACCGTGCTCGTATTTGCCCTAAAAATTTTCGGAAAATGTTTTTTGTCGAATTTCAAAAATGTAAAACGACAGTTTTATTCAGAATTCGATCCTGATTTCGAAAATGTATAATTCATGCCAATTTATTTTAGGATGAAAAGTGACCATTTTGGCACCCGTCCTTTATTCATAAAAAGAATTTCTTCAAAATGTAGTGTATCTCTTAAACTAAAATCCTCCCAGAGAACGCATTCCATAATCTCGAAAAATATTTCTAGATCTTTCAGCAACATAATAGTCACGATGGATTTAAATGTATACCTTCTTATCTTTCTTCTTATGCATACCATCTTAGCCGAATCTAGTACATTTTACTCAACTATTCATTATACAGTAGATAATCTTCTATATTTCGAATCGCGAATCGACGTGCAAACATCCGTAGATAAAGATGTGATGCTAGGAAAGATAGAGTTCGAAGCTAAATCATTGATGCATCCCACTGCCTACTTGCTTAGACTATAGGCTAAGGGGGAAAAGCGATTTTCGAGGATCATCGTATCATATAGGATCATATAAGGAACATTTTGTCAGCATAAAGAGAACAAATTTATCGCTTTATTATTACTCCTAGTTTTAAAAACTGAACTAAATTAAAATATCTAGATTTCGCTCCTTTTAGTATACTTGTAAACATCATGAACTTCCCAGATGAAATAATCAGACGTTCTTTTTCTTTACCAAATCTTTATCTTAGTTACTCAGTTAGCTTTCTTTTGATTAGCTACTGGACAATGCTCTCTGATAGGTTTTCGAGACCTGTGGTGCTCTAAAGGATTTTCAGAAAACTCTGCATTTTCTTCTGATTCAAACACATCCAGTAATATAAAGTCGACGATGCTGATCATGAATATGACAATTATCAAGCAAAAAACCGAAAAGGTAAAGTGGAAACTTAACGTTAGTAACATTTTTAAATAAACTCAAAATCTCGATTAAAATTTAGTTTCTGATTTGGTGCGCTTTCAGATATTTACGATCCCTTCTTGCCGTACTGTGAAACTTTGTCAGTATATGTAACTTTTCACGGGCTATCCAACGGTGTAACTTAGAAAGCCAAAAGAGGTGTACAAGGGGGTTAAAAGAGCTAACTAGCTCGTTTTTTACATTTTTTGCAGTACACTCCCGCTCTGGACTACTTAAGGTTTTTTGCTTGATAATTGTCATATTCATGATCAGCATCGTCGACTTTATATTACTGGATGTGTTTGAATCAGAAGAAAATGCAGAGTTTTCTGAAAACCCTTTAGAGTACCACAGGTCTGAGTTCAGTTTGCATCTCTCGAAGCTAATTCTTTCACATTCGGATAGAGCACGTCGAATTACATATAGATAAAGTATTTCCAGCCCTCCAAAACACAATTGAACCGAGATAGTAGGACCAAGACCAAAAATATCGGGTTTTAGGTCAAAAATTGTCATGGTCACCATTCAACGAGAAAACATTTTTATGAGCTGCGGTTGTGATATTCGTGATCACCGTGCTCGTATTTGCCCTAAAAATTTTC